ATATATATATATATTATTAATCTTGTAATACTATAATAGTATAAGGGTTGAATCTTAAACTTGTAAAATTCTAGTGTTTAGAATTTAAATATTTCAAAATTAAACTTTTAATCAAAATTTTAAATTCCAAAACTTGAGAGCAAGTTTTGAAACTTTTCAAAACTTTCTAGATCAAATTTCAAATAATTTAATTAAACAATTAATTAGTGATTATCTAAATTTGACGTAATCCAATTTCATAACAATATAATTCAATCAAATAATTCAAATAATTAAGGTTTATCATATAAGGCAATAATTATCCAGTTAATTGACAATTATCTTTTATTTTGATAAGGATAATAACAACATATTAATAAAAATCGGATTTATCAATCAAATTTTTTTTTGGTAATTATCCAAAATCAAAATAAGTCAAAATCCTGAGTTTTCTGCCATCTGACTCTCCGACTCGCCGAGTAACCTTCTGGACTTGTCGAGTTCAGGAGATTCACTGAACTCATGTCGTGGACTCCAGTGAGTCACGTCGTGAGTTGGGAAGTTAAATAGAAAACGGGTTTTAAAGCTATGAAAAATAAACTTTTGCATCAAATACATAAGAAAAACCATCCTAGGCTCCGATACCACTGATAGGTTTTAAGCAAAACATCAATCCTATGGTGCACATGCAAAACCCTAACAGTTTGGATCTTGTTTTATCTAACTGTACATGCAAATTATCCAAAGCTTATAAAACCTCATTCTAGCATATGAAAAACAAAAATACTATCTAAACAAGTTTAGATGATTACCTTTCTAAGAGTGGCAAGAATCTTCAATCTTCAAGAGCTTAGTATCACAAATGTAATATCTCTTATGGATCACAAACACCAAAGCAAGAAGATGATCTTGGAGAGAGGCGATGGTGGCTCAAAATCGACTCTAAGAACTCTAGGGATCAAGTGGTAGCCGATTTTGGGTGTCCTAGGGTTCCTTTTATAGGTGTGCTGCTAGGGTTTCAGTAAAACCCTTAATTGTATAGCATAGGCCTTAAGCTGTCCAATAGAACCTTCAGGAATAAGGCCTTGGACAAATTCAAGATGGGCTTCCACCTTAATTTCGTCCACCCCTTGATCCATAAGGATCTACAACCCCAAACTCAATTATCTTATAATTGCAATTTCAGTCCCCTAAGTTCAATTAATATCTTTTGATCAAAAAATTAATTCTTAATTAATTCTTGACCAATATTAATTAACTAATATGATTTCTCCTTTAATATATTATTCTTATAATATATTAATAAACCATATTATCCTCTCTCTCCACTAATCATCCAATTAAGTTGGGCTGATGAAGGTAACCCAAAATGATCATGCTACTATCGGGTCAAGTATATACCAAATATATTTATGGGCTTAGACACTTAATACAACAGTATCATGTTCGTGTTCAAAATTTGACATGAAATTAACACGATTTAATAGTATTTGTTTTTCGTGTTATGTATGATTAATTATTAATTAAATAAACTAATTGTTATTTTTATCGTGACATGTCGTGTTTTTTGTTTTTTATTTAATTCATTTTCGTCTTAGTTTAAAAAAAAACACGATATTTTATCGTGTTATGTTTGTGTTACATAAAACTTTATCTTTTTGTGTGTTATCAGGGAAAAAAACATGACACAATTTTCCAATTTGTCACCCCTACTCTATTTCATATTTCATAGATTATGAAAAGGATCCATGTCTAATAGTAAACTTACAGCAGAAATTGATCCCTATATTTACAAAAGTAAATACATGGCTCCTAAAGTTACAAATATGGTCCTTATGTTTAAAAAATACAAACATGGTCGATGTCTAATAAGAAAACTATATAATTAGTCCCTATGTTCCATAAAATTATAGAAACGATCTCTGCTTAAAAGTGAAGTAACAAACAGAAAACTACATAAACGGCTTATGTATAATATAAAACTTACAAACATATCCTATATGTATATATGTATGACAATGAAAAAAGCTGAAACGTTATATATCCGTTTAATCAATTATCATTTATAATGCGTAAGAAAAACATGTATGACAAAAACATGTATGACCCCGGTGCAAAACGCAGACTCAAATACTAGTTATATATCAACTTTATTTGTAGGTTTATGGTAAAAGAAATTTATAAAATTCCATTTACATAATTATTAATTTAATGTTTACAATGTCAACTTTATACAAAACAAATAATTTCAGGCATATCATTTAACTATTTGTTGCAAGGTTAAATGCAAAAATAGTATCGTATTTTTATTTACGTGATAATTCATGTGTTCATTATTTAGAAACTCCTATTTATAGATATTTGTAAGGAAGTTTCTACACAACTTCTATCATGTTCTTGATATCTCTTATGATCATTGTAAAAAGCAACAAAATTTCTAACTTCCAATTAAATTGATTCATAAGTACTAGATCTTTTATTATGAGAAAAATTAATGTGTGACCCAATTAAATATGGCAAAACTTATTTCCATATGCAAAATTACCAAGAAAAATAATTGAAAAACACATCCACAAACTTGAGCATAAAGTTAGAAACAAACCACATATCAATTCATGAAAAGTAACAAGTCAAAGTTTTTGGTTAATTGATATGATTAGAGATGCTTGGAAAGAATAGACTCCACAACACCTTGAGCTATCGGATGATAAGTTTCACGAGCTTCTGAGAAAACCCTTTGTGCAAATATCTTCTCTTCTTCTTTCTTCACATTCCCTTGCACAAGTGCTGTGTACAATGGCCGAAGGTATTTCATTCTCCCTACTTCCTTTAAAGTTTTCTCCACAATGTTATAATATTCACTGCATCTTGAACCAATAGCTAGTTGGAGGAATGCTACTTTCACCTCATAGTCCTTTGATTCTGATAGCCTGTATCTAGAATCCAAAGCTGTAACCTACATCATCATCATCAAGATTTTGCAATCAAAGATCATATTTCACATAAAGCAATTAGTGAAGGAAATGATGATACCTGTGAAGCTTCAACAGATTTAGGGAGATTTTCCAAATAAAGCTCCCATTCCTGTCCATGCCAATTAGCAACTTCTTCCTCACTTGGCATCCTACCTTGCTTAAATTCATTTGCTAATGAAACTATCTTTTTATAGATATTAGAAACTGGCTCCATTGCATCAAAAGGAATACCAGTGCCTTCAGTCCATATCTTTAAATCAATCTCTTTCTCAATTCCAGGAACATTCACTTTCAAGAAATCAAGAAACATATACGTATCAATCGATTGAAACTTAAATGCAGCTATGTACTTCTTTAGAAACTCATCAAAAGCTGGCCTTCCGATCTGAACATAACCCACAAACCAAATATAAAAATAAAACAAGATTCATAGAAAAAAGAAATGAAAACATGATATATGATATATGATATATATGATAATAAAGGAAGTAAAGAACCTGTCTTTCAATGCGCCATAGAAACTGAAACCCTTTCTCGTATGGAACTTGAGAATATACATCATCTGGATCTACACCTTCTTGATTAGTTAAGAGTTTTGTGAACTCGGTTTTATCTTTGAACCTTTCCATTTCATCAACCAAACCTTTCCACCCAATTCCAATATTCAAAGCAGCTATGTCTTCCCCTTGAACAGCCTCGACTATTCTTCTTTCTGCATAAGTTGTGAATCCCTCATTCAACCAGAAATGATCATTAGTTTTGTTGGTGATCAGATTCCCAGTCCAGCTATGAGCAAGTTCATGTGCTACAACTTGGGCACCACTAGCATCTCCTTTGATTACAGTAGGAGTCAAAAACACCATCCGCGGATTCTCCATTCCACCATAAGGAAAACTAGGAGGCAAAACCAGTAAATCGAACCTCTCCCAATCGTAATCCCCAAATAGCTTCTCTCCAACCCTAATCATATCTTCAGTACCTGCGAACTCCTTTGCTGCAGCATCAAGAACAGCAGGGACTGACTCTGCGAACACCTTGGTCCTGGGGCCCACTTCCCTAGACCCAATTTCTCCAGCCGCGAAGGCGAATAAATAAGGTGGAATCGGTTGTTCCATGGTGAATTCTTCAACGACTCTTCCTTCTGCACACCATAACGATTCATCGCACGCGAAACTTGAATCGCCCCCCAGCCAACGGTGCCCTCCTATCGACGTGTCTCGCGCTCATAACAGCTGATAACTGATGAGGAATGTTCAGCTTAGCATTGTATCGGACTCGTGATGCGGGTGTGTCCTGACACGGGAAAATCGACCTCGCATGGATGGATTGGCACTGGGTGTACACGAAAGGGAACTTTTTGTTGAAGGTTTGTGGAGGAGTTAGCCATTGAAGGGCTGAACTAGATGGAGAAGTGACAAAAGTAATCAAGATTTTCGAATTGTTGGTGAGGGGAAACAGTTAAAGGTTGGCCCTTTATGGGGTCAACGTCGGAAGAAAGACAAAATGGGAGTGGGGTATTGTTGATCGGGTCGATGACCGATTTTATGGTGAGTGACCGAGTGTCGAGGAGCAGATCGCCGGTATGTGGAGCGCATAGAGTGAGCAAGGCGGAGGAGGAGATGGTGGAGGTGGAGAAATCGAAGTAGAGAGAAAGGGAGATGTGGGTTGTTAGGGGGTGGGTTGAATCGGTGAACGAGTGTGGATCAATCGGTGCCATTGTTGAGCTTCTAGGGTTTTGGTGATGATGAATGTTTTTCTTTGTATCGATCGAGAGGGCAAACGCAGGAGCTAATCAATGGATTTATTTGGTTTTGATTCGCAAGTGTAAGAATTGCAGTAAGCCTTTTCTATAATAAAGTAACGAATTAGTGTAGAATTTGATTCCCAATATTATTAATTTGAACCGGGTAATAACCCGTGAATAAAATAAAATTATATAAAAACGATAAAAGTCATAATCATTGATCTTAATTTTATAGTTTAGTGACGTCCAATATCAAACTTATTGTTAATCAATCTTTCAAAGTCATATCTTAATATATAAGCTAAATGTAAAAACCTTAAAAAACCACCATTTAAAAGATGATTAGAATGAAATCATTAAAATGGTACTATTAAATAGTCACCATTTTGGTGTTTATGACTTTATGGCTAGAGTTAAATACTATTTTGTTTTAGCTTCTAGATTTAATATATATATATATATATATATATATATATATATATATATATATATATATATATATATATATATATATATATATATATATATATGGAAAAGTGAATATACCCTTAAAGATATATAAACTTAGGTATCCAAACTCACCATAATATGTCGTTTTGGTTAATATATTTACTATAATGTTCTTCAACTTCAATCCTTATCTTGATTTACTTTCAAGATTTTCAAATTTTCATTATTATTTTCCTTTTACATCACATCTTTTTGACGAACATCAATTAGGCTATATATATTATAGTAGAAAATGAAAATTATGTAAGAGGAAAATAAATGTGAAATTTATAAAAATCTTTGAATAAAATCAAGTTAAAAGTTGAATTATAAGAACATTAGACAATTACAATGTATATATATATATATATATATATATATATATATATATATATATATATATATATGATACAAAACGACGTACTATGATGAGTTTGAGTACCTAAGTTTATATATATATATATATATATATATATATATATATATATATATATATATATATATATATATATATATATATATATATATATATATATATATATATATATATATATATATATATATATATATATATATATATATACACACACAAAGATGTTACAACTACATAACTTGAGGTCTTAAAATTAGCAAGTGAACAAAAAACTTGCATTTTTATATATAAACGGTTATATGTTAAAAAAACAAGGTTAAATTATTTATTAGAATAATTGTATTTTTTTCGTCAAATGTCTAGAAAAGTTTTTTTTTTCTTACTTTTTGGATAAATTTTTGTACGTTTGTTCCATTTTTCAAATTTAGCATGTGATAAAACATAAGCAAATTAAACAAATCACCTTCAAGAGAATATGCAGAAGCTATTTTTAAGGAAATGATAATCTTTGTTTTCTATGGATTTTATTTAGGGGAAATGATTGAACTAACCATTTTTTGTGTGTTTTTAAAAAATATAATTTTTTTTTTCAAAATAACCATATTTTTCGAAATGAGTTGATCCGGAACGTATTTCAGACTTGTTTTTTGGTGGGCCAGTTGATTTCATTGCTTCTAGAATGCTCATTCTGGAGTTTCTATACGTGTTCCGGATCGAATTTCAAAATCCGGAATATAATTTGAAAACATCTGGACCCTCAACCTCATTTCGAATCTTGCTACGACTTTCCGATGTGATTTCGATTTCGATCATGATTTCAATCTCCGACATGGAAGACAACCACTACGACCCGATTATTTTATGGATATGTTCTTCATTCCAAAAACCTAATTTGCTTGTTTGTATAATGCGATTATTCACCGAGAACTACTATTATAGAAAGTGTAGATTATTCACCGAGAACTACTATTATAGAAAGTGTAGAATACCTCCGGATTGAACTGAAAACATTCTGAAGTTTTTAATTAAAGATTTCATTGCAGTAGGACCAACCCAAAAGTAGTTTAGATATTTAGGTATTGTTAGTTTACATCGAAATGTAGTGTTTTGGAACATAAAATTTCATTTTATAACACTCTAGAATGCGAAAAATTGGTCTGGAACACGAGGAACTGGTCTGGAACTAATCTTGAATATTGGTTAATTTTCGTTCCGGAGTTGGGTTATAACAACTTTTTTATTTGTACAGCAAGACAGTGTTTTTGATGCATCCATTACATTGTCTTGTAAACCCAAAATATGTGGGGAAATTCTTGTGGCATTGGAAGACAGACCGGAATGCAAGACTATGTTCTGGAATTCATGTTTTTGTAAGTGGTTAGACATTCTTAATATATATATATATATATATATATATATATATATATATATATATATATATATATATATATATATATATATATATATATGGAGATCCTTTGCTTCTACATTATGTCTTTTGCTACGAAGTTATCACAAACCCCTGAAGCAAAGCGGAAGAAATCATTTCTGAGATTGAGGGTTATGAGTTGGCTTTCAGGAAGATAGATTTTTGTCTTGTTACTGGCTTCCATTTTGGATATTATTTTACTACGTCCGGCTCCGGCGCCGTCTTCCATTCCCATGTGTTTCCTATTGTAACATCCAGTTTTAAAAGTACTCGGTTGTGGTCTTGGAGGCCAAGGGTATAGGCGATTCGGTCTGTTATGGGTCTCGGGTCTTACTCGAAAGGTTTTAGGCTTGGTGGTGTGGCTAGGAGCATAGGCTTCCCGCCACCTTTTCGTGGATATAAAGTTCGTCGGAAAAGAACTTAGAATGAAGGAGTTATAGCACTTTGAAGTTATTGGCAATATTAGTCCCTAATGGAGAAAAGTGGCAAGAAAGTACCATGCATACAAGGTGGCAAGCACGGAAGTACGCCCAACGTAAGCTGGGGGTACGCCCATCGTAGAGAAGTAAGTGAACGCGGGTGTGGAAGGAGTACGCCCAGCGTACGCTCAGAGTTCCTAAACCCTGATTTTGGGGATAAGCACTATGTAAAGAACATAATGCCCTAGATATCATCCTCCCTCTCATTCTTAGATAGCCACCACGAAACCCTAATCCTTCCTTGAGTGTTCTTGGAGCTTAGGAGGCCATTAGAGTGCATTTTGGGGTTGTAAGGTCATTTTCCAAGCAAGTGAAGAGCAAAGCAAGGTGGTGGTTCAAAGGAGAAGTTGTAGATTCGACATTGTTATTCCATTTTAGATCACCTTGAGGTTTAAAGCCTTGAACTTTCCTCAAGGATGGTTAGATCTAGTGCGGTGATGTTTTGGACCATTTTGGTCCCAAGTATAGAGTTTTATGGTTCAAATCTGATTCCTAGGCTTAGAGTTGCCACTCTCAGTGCTAAATGAGTCCCTAAGATAGAAAGTTGACATCTTGGATGTCTTATTGGGTTCATTCATGAGTTAAGATCACTTTTATGAAAATAGAATGCTATTTTGGAGTTTGTGCTTGTTAGGGTCATGTAAAGTCACCAAGTCAGTGACTTTATAGATTAAGACATTGAAAAGGACTTGGATCCATGATTATAACTGTTGGAATAAAGTATTAAGTGCCTAATGGGAAAAGTGACTTAACAGAGAAGCATGTTGCACGTACATGCAGGTACGCACAACTTACACGCCATGCAGCCTATACGCTTAGCGTATAGAGGAGTACGCCCCGCGTACTCATCAGATATGGGCTTGGCGTGTTTTGGGCCTCAGATTGGGCCATACATTGGGTTTTGGCTCTTTAGGCCTTAGTGAGCCATCAGAAGTCAGATAATTTAAGCCAATAATATGTATGGGCTTAGGGTAAGGCCCATTAGAGGGATTAGGCCCAATTTAGCAAATTGGGCCATTAGTGGACTACTAGTGGGCTTGGGAAGCCTACCTAGTATTGGGCCTTTTTATATTATGGTTTTTGGCCTTAGATATGGACCAAGTTGGACTAGGGGTAAAATGGTCATTTTACCCTAAGAATAATTATTGGTTTGGACTAATTGCTATTTTGGGTAATGGTAGTTCGGGGAGTCAATAGATCAACAATTCGGGGATCTGCCAGCTAGCAGCGAGAGGTTTATTCAAAGGATTCTACAGTCAGCTTGTGAAGTGAGTTTTCTCTGTAGGAACGGGTCGAAGGTACCAATGTCGGCCCGTTTATGTATGTTAGTGTATGTCGGACCTAGGTTCGATACCGGGGTTAGCCTGATGCAGATTGCATGCTGCGGACATCGATCCGATGCTGGGGCATGCCCGATGAATTTTTAGTTTATATTGCTATGTGTTGTGTGTTCCGGACTTCAGTCCGATGTTGGGGCAACCCATAGGAAGGTTAACTTTTCCGGACTTCAGTCCGATGTCGGGCGGAGCCCGAGGAAGGAATGCATGTTTAGTTATACTTGTTGTCTTTGAGGGATTCTGACACACTCTCGAGTGTGTCTGAACTCAAACTGAGGACTTGGTATGAAAAAATTTAAAAGAAAATCATTTTATAAAAAGGAACTTGGAAAAAGAGAAAGGAATTTTGAAAAAGAGAAAAGGGTGTGGTGCATGCAATCAGCCGAGCTCAAGTAAGTACTCCCAAATTAACCATACAAGCTTATGTAATGATATGTTTATGAGAACTATGTGCTAGATTAGGGATAAGGATCTAGGAAGGATGCCTTATATGCATGTTATATGTGTATTAGCTTTATGAACTACATGCTAGTACAGATTAGTCAGCCTAATGTCCTGATTAGAATATGTTTGATTATGTGTACTCAATGCTCGAATGTTGCTTGCTTTGTGCTTTTAGGAGTTCTAGTTATCTTTTACTAACTAGTAACAGAATATGTTAAGCTACATATTGCTTGCAAGGACCTCTCATTTGAGTCTAACCGTTGTAGGGCAGAACCTCTCATTCAAAGAATTATCTAGTCTTAGTGATATGTAATGGTATTCGCGAGCTAATCAGGGGAGATAGTAGGGACTTCTTATGCAACTGATAGCAAAGAGTGGGATGGAGATTACCCTAGGACAAGCCTAGTATGAGAGTAGTGTTG